TGTCCCATTTACAGAGGAGGCTCAGAGAAGTCAAGTCACATGCTCAAAATCACCAAGCTAGAAAATGGCAAAGCCAGATTTCTTTTCTTTTCTTTTTTTTTTTTTTTTTTTGTGAGACAGAGTCTTACTTTGTTGCCCAGGCTAGAGTGAGTGCAGTGGCGTCAGCCTAGCTCACAACAACCTCCAACTCCCGGGCTCAAGCGATCCTCCTGCCTCAGCCTCCCGAGTAGCTGGGACTACAGGCATGCGCCACCATGCCCAGCTATTTTTTTCTATATATATTAGTTGGCCAATTAATTTCTTTCTATTTTTAGTAGACATGGCATCTTGCTCTTGCTCAGGCTGGTTTTGAACGCCTCACCTTGAGCGATCCTCCCTCCTTAGCCTCCCAGAGTGCTAGGATTATAGGCGTGAGCCACCGCGCCCAGCCCAAGATTTCTTTTAAAGTTAGAAAAGAAAAGGAAATTTCGTACATGTGTACACACACACACACACACACACACACACACTTTTGACAACCATTAGTGGATAAAAAAAAAATACATAAAAAACAACCTTAGGCCAAGCGCGGTGGCTCACGCCTGTAATCCTAGCACTCTGGGAGGCCGAGGCGGGCTGATTGCTCGAGGTCAGGAGTTCGAAACCAGCCTGAGCAAGAGCGAGACCGTCTTACTATAAAATTAAGAATTAATGGCCAACTAATCATATATAGAAAAAAATGAGCCGGCATGGTGGCACATGCTGTAGTCCCATTACTCGGGGAGGCTGAGGCAGGAGGATTGCTCGACCAGGAGTTTGAGGTTCTGTGGAGGCGAGGCTGACGCCACGGGCACTACTCTAGCCTGCACAAAAGTGAGACTCTGCTCAAAAATAAACAAAAAAAAACCTTAAAATAGGTAGCGCTTTTTAAGAAATCTGTGTTTTATTCATCGGAACAATATGTCCATACAATGGGAAATAGTCTTATGAAGATTGCGAGGGCTGTTGTTTATTTGATCCAGACACGGTGCCTGGTGCATGCTTGGATTTTCTGGCAATAATTCCAAAGCCCTAGTGGGTTGGGCGGATCCGGTTATCCCTCTCTCTTTTGAGCACACCTGGTAAAAAAGACGTGTGCTTGTGGATAATGAAAGGAAAGGTCATGCTTAAAGGGAGCGCTGGTGGCATTATGCGGGAAGGTTCTCATCCGGGTTCTGCCGATTTATTCATTCTGCTGTATCTCAGCCTGTCTACTGCAAAAAATAGAACTGATTACAACTTCCTGCCTTGGAAAGAGACTAGAATCAGAGAACAGGAAGCAGACTTCTGGGTAACCTCTCACGTAGGTCAAGAAACAAACACAGGCCAGGCGCGGTGGCTCACGCCTGTCATCCTAACACCCTGGGAGGCCGAGGCGGGAGGATCGTTGAAGGTCAGGAGTTCGAGACCAGCCAGAGCAAGAGCGAGACCCTGTCTCTACTAAAAATAGAAGGAAATTAATTGGCCAACTAAAAATGTATAGAAAAAATTAGCCGGGCGTGGTGGCACATGCCTGTGGTCCCAGCTACTCAGGAGGCTGAGGCAGGAGGATCGCTTGAGCCCAGGAGTTGGAGGTTGCTGTGAGCGAGGCTGACGCCACGGCACTCTAGCCTGGGCAACAAAGTGAGACTCTGTCTCAGAAAAAAAAAAAAAAGAAAGAAACACAAGCAGAGCATCTTACCCCGCCTCCACTTGAGCCTCTGCAGGGAAGGAGGTCTTTGTCACCAGACATGGCCAGTTCTTGGCTGGACTGTGATGGCTGTTTGGAATTTCTTCTGGAACCCTGTCCTTTTACTCATTCATCTTGATTCTATGTGCTGAAACCACCATGAACAAGGTCAATCCTTCTACCCATGAAGCTCCTTAATTAACTAGATGAATTAATTATGGGTTTTCTTTGCCATTAACCCATCCTTTTCCAGGCAAGATGCTTTCTTCTTCGCTTTCCTTATAGAATGCTTCCAGACACTCTTTTATCCTCATCATCGACATTCTTCCTAAAGTTTCATGTCCAGAACCAAAAATAATATACCACAAGGCTCTAATCATGGGGTCGCAATTTACCCTGAGCTAGTTTTTGTGTGTGTGTGTTATGATGGTATAGGAGGATAGATCAATACGACTAAGTGGAAGTCAGCAATTATCCAATAAAAGAACAAACTTATGAAAACGAAAGGCCTGCGGGAGAGGGGAGGGTTTTCATTCATGCCAGAGCTTGCCTTGTCTTCCCAAACTGCCTTGCAAGGAATGGAATTTGACTGGTGTCATTCTCCGGCCTGGAACTGTGTGTTAGTGGGAAATGGAGAGTAGGCGTGTTTAAAGGTTGATCATTTCAGCTGTAGCAAAACTCCTACCAACTGCCAAGCGCCAACTTTAGAGAGGAAAGGAAGCAGTTTTTAGCTGAGAGTAATTATTTTGCCAGCACCTCCTCTGACCACTGTCGCTTGAAAGCCTTGTTGTTTTCCACCAGCGTTGAGGAGATCAGGACTATCCAAGGGAGAAATTTGGGCTCAGAAGACCACAAGGGAGTCCTGGCTCCTCCACCTTCTGGCTGAGATCATGAGCAAATAAATTCCTTGAATTCTATGGGTTTTCTTTTTCTTAATAGTAAATGGAGATATTTAATAGTCCCCATTTTGCAGGGTAGCTTAAAGAAGAAACCATTCGTGAAAGTGTTTTTTGCAAAGTGAAAAACGTCATACAAATGTTAGATATTATTGAACATGGGGGAGACTTGGGGGGGAAAAAGGCAAGCCACCTTCTTGCTTGAACCAAATCTGGAACAGGAATGGAGAGGAAAGATTTGGGGTTGAGAACTATTTGGTAGAGCTGGTAATCGTACAAAATCTGGAAGCCTTCTTCAAGTTCCTCTAAGGGCCAAGAGAGATTTCCTTTACCCACGAGCCTTTGCGAGCAGTTAGCTTTCTATACAATCATGTTGGTTTTCAGACCCGCCAATGTAGTGGTTTCTTGATCTGGTCTTTCTCTCACCCCTTCCCTCTTCGCATTTTTCCTGAATTCCCTTTCAAAAACCAGGTACCAGTTTAGTTGATGAGGAGACAGCCATGAGCAAGACCAAACAAGCCTTTGCTCTGAAGTGGACATTAAGCAAAAAGTTACAGAATTGCAACTGCAATCAGAACTACAAAGATCAAGTGTAGGGTTCTAAGAGAATCCGTAACAGGGAGAATCCAGGAATCATCATGGGCCCTGGTAATGACTCAAAAAGACAGAATATATCACCCTCTCAATAATTAACTCATCGATGCGTATTCCCCACTCTTAAGTTGGCAAAGCACTTGCTCATATGTTTTCTCACTTCATCAGGCTATCCGTAGACAACATTGTCACCTTTGTCTAGAAATCTAGAAACTAAGGCTGAAGAACTTGGTATGATTTGCCCCGGGTCAACTAGCTCTGGCACTTATAGAACTTTTGACTCTAAATCCTGAGCTCTTTCCAACCTATCCTGTTCGTTCACTGGCTGCTCTGTCTTGGGCACTGGAGTTTTGAAAAATAGCATTGAGGAAAGAGCCATGGAGGAAATCACTCCCCTGGGGGGTATTTTTTTCTGGGAGACGTTTGGGCGGAGGCTGGGATTCCTAATATTGGTCTCAGCCAAATCATAGGAGGAAGCCCAGCTGAGATGTGAAGAGAGATTTCCAACTGCTTTGTGTGCATTGCAGTTTTTGTATTTCCAAGACACCAAAGGTAGCCCCTTGGTCTAACCTGTACCTAGAGGAATACATGTGACCTAAGTTAAAACGAAACACATAGAACATCAAACATACTCCCATAGGTTTTATTCCTCAAACCCAGCCATTCATTGACTTCTCACAGCACTCAGAGCTCACCCAGGTTTGCTTATGAATTGATCATCTTAGCTACCACTTTTTCCATGCTTACTGCTACGACCCGGGACTTAGTAGTGTGCATTCACCCATACCGACCTCCTGAAACAGGCACCTAGTATCTCCAGGTAGATGAGGCAACTGAGGCTCAGAAAGATGAAGTTGATGAGGTTGCCTAAGGCAGGGGTCCTCAAAGTTTTTAAACAGGGGCCATTTCACCTTTCCCCAGACCATACGAGGGCCATTGGAGAGTGCAGCGCACATTCCACACATGCGCACTGCGGGCCCGGGACCAGTCGGCTGCTAAGCAGGACAGGCAGCGGTGGCAAAAACACCCAGAGGGCCAGATAAATGTGCCAGGCGGCCCGCATGTGGCCTGTGGGCCGGTAGTTTGAGGACGCCTGGCCTAAGGCCACACACAGCCTCTAAGTGGCAGAGTCGGGCTTCAAACCCAGGTCTGACTCCAAACACTGCACTCTCCCACACTTCCGCCCCTCAAACCTGCAAACAAATTTTACAACCATTTCCTGCCCTTCCCATCTGAGTTCTTTAGCCCTTAAAACCAGAAAGACGTAACAGCAGCCTTCAGGCAGCTTTGAAAGGCCCCTGTACCCCCACCCACAGACCCCCCTCTCCCTCTGGGTGCAGGATGCCCACCCAACACACCACCCTCCTCTTGAAGATCTGAGTTAAGGGAAACTTGAAACTGAGGGATCCGGTTAAGGCAACCTGCAGCCAAATTGCACACAAAGACCCAAAGGCACCAAAAAAAATGACAGCAGTTTTCATCGCTTTTCTCGACTGCTGAGCCCTCCGCTAATAAATCTGGGCTTAGCTAGAGTCATTTTTGTCCTTTTTAAAGGGAAGGAGGAAATTGCAAAGCTCCCTCTCAAGCAGTAGACTCAACATCAGTAAAACTGCATGTGCCCCCCCCCCTTTCTGCAAAGCTGTGGCTATGGTTCGAAAAAAAAAAAAAAGCAAGCAGATTTTATTTTTCAGTACCTTTTTGTTGTCCCTGGCCAGCTCCGTGTGCCAGCATATTGTTTTAACTCTGATGGGGTCACAGCATTGAGCTGCAAACACTTAAAACATAACACCAGCCTCACTTCCATCCTCTTCTTTCCCCCTTAGGTGAAAGCAGCTTCCAAGTATGTGGACGTACCTGTGAGTATTTGCAAGTTTTTCATTGTGGGTTTTCTGGTTTTCGTTTTTGTTTCTTTTTTTTTTTTTATTGTTTTTGGCTTTCATGAGAATGTTGATGGTGCTACTTTTGTTAGTTGCTGCTAAACTGTATATTCCTGAATTGGATCATCAGAAATAGAGAAGCCAAGAGTACTTCGTAGTAGAATTTTTTTTCCCAGACAAAAAAGAGAGGGTATGGCTCCTTTCAGCAGGAAGGCGGGTCCCATTTGAGGGTAAACCCAGTTCATGTTCACGTTCACTTTCCTTTTCATTGCTTTCTCTGGTGTTTCATTCTATCTTCATTGTCCTGCTCACCAACCCCACCTTGGGAGTGGAGACCCGTGAGCTAGAAATTTGCACAAGGGTGGCAGTATTTTTAAAAAACAAATACATTCTGAATTTGTTCATTTCGGGGTCAATTTTGCAATTGTTTTAAGGAAGCCTTACAAAACTGCCTATAATTAGTGCGGGCCTCATTAATGAAGAGAGCTGTCAAAGTTCGCTGATAAAGCACTCCAGGTTGCCCAAAATTTACATTTAAATTGAGGTTAAGTAGAACACATGAATGCTAAAACGAGGGATTACCTGTGAGAAGTCAGGATACATTTATAGACAGACTTTGCCCTGCCTATTAGCAAAATAAAATTGGAGAGATTTAAATATCTTCCAATAAAGCGGAAGAGAAAATGATTCTGTTTCTCCATTTCTAACAAAAGAGGTGTGAGACTATTACAAAATATTAAATTTAGAGAGCTTATCTCAACAGCCACCAAGGGTCTCGTACTGAGCCGTTTCTCATTCTGAACGTGGTTAAGTACCCTCCTTGTTCAAATACTTATTTGTTAAAATTTGTTTTTTTTTTTTTTTTGAAAAGGATTTATATTAACATTTAAATCCATTTCCCCGGGAAGCTAAGTGTATAATGGTTTATTGGCTTATTTCTCAAAGGAAGACAAAAACGGAAAATTGGAGTGAATTTAGCAGCAGCATATATTTTGTTTGTTTAATGAAAGGATGTACAATCAATAATTGCACTTTGAATTTATATCATCCTTCTCAGCGAGGAACCTCAGCCACCTTCTTGTAGACAGTCCTTACGAGCGAGGATAGAAGCTAACGTAGCTGTAGCAAGGAAAGATGTTAGTTAATTTACCTTCTCAAGCCCCAGAGTAGAAACTTGGAACTTCACAAGGAGCAAACTCCTCAAATTCTCTGTTTTTCCATCTTTAAAATGGAGAACACAACACCTGCCTCATGGGTTTGCCATGCAAGCTAAATGACACCACCTACATGGGACACCCAGCACCATGCCTGGAACTTTCCAGAAAGTTCAGCACAGGAGAAGAGCACAGGTGGCGATTGGTGGTATGATGCCCATGCTCCGTTGCTCACGGGGAGAAGTGGGTACAAATTCATTGATCATCAGCCCTGACCTCCGTTGTCATTCAACGGTGCTAGAAATTGAAATGCACTACCACCATTTGAGCACCATAGTTTTAATCAGTCAGTACCAATTTTTTTTTTTTTTTTTTTTTTTTTTGAGACAGAGTCTCGCTTTGTTGTCCAGGCTAGAGTGAGTGCCTTGGCGTCAGCCTCACTCACAGCAACCTCAAACTCCTGGGCTCAAGCGATCCTCCTGCCTCAGCCTCCCAGGTAGCTGGGACTACAGGCATGCGCCACCATGCCCAGCTAATTTTTTGTATATATATTTTATTTGGCCAATTAATTTCTTTCTATTTATAGTAGAGACAGGGTCTCACTCTTGCTCAGGCTGGTTTCGAACTCCTGACCTCGAGCGATCCATCCGCCTCGGCCTCCCAGGGTGCTAGGATGACAGGTGTGAGCCACAGCGCCCGGCTGAGTCAGTACCAATTTGATGGCGAGTACATGTGGAGCCCATTTATAACATTACTTTGCCCCCCCATAATTCTATACAATTATAAATTGTCCATTTACAGTAAAAAAAAAAATGAACATGACCAAAAAAGCACTTGAATGTTATCAATAGGGAAATGGTCCCATAAATTTTTATTTATCCATACCATACAGTGTTACATATAATTTAAAAATTGTATGTAATACATATAATTTTAAAACTTAGTCAATTCTGTAATATGAACCTGATAGGATGTCATGTATCATTAAGTCAAAAAGACAAATTACAGAGTTATGTATATAAAATAAATACACTTATTAAAAGAAATTATGTTAGCTCGAACCATGTGAAATTGGCATTTTGGAGAGGTCAAAAAGTCAACCAAATTTCATATGGTTCAACGTAATAATTCCTGCAAGCCAGGTTCAGATGTAGTATAAAGATGTGGGAGGGTGGCCGGGCGCGGTGGCTCACGCCTGTCATCCTAGCTCTCTGGGAAGCCGAGGGGGGAGGATCGCTCAAGGTCAGGAGTTCGAAACCAGCCTGAGCAGGAGCGAGACCCCGTCTCTCCCCATCTCTACTAAAAATAGAAAGAAATTAGTTGACCAAATAAAAATATATAGAAAAATTAGCCAGGCATGGTGGCGCATGCCTGTAGTCCCAGCTACTCAGGAGGCTGAGGCAGGAGGATCGCTTGAGCCCAGGAGTTGGAGGTTGCTGTGAGCGAGGCTGATGCCACGGCACTGACTCTAGCCTGGGCAACAGAGTAAGACTCTGTCTCAAAAAAAGAAAAAAAAGAAAAAAAAAAAAAGATGTGGGTGGAGGAGATGGACTCTATGTCAATATGAAAGGACCCTGATCTATAGTCAAGCAGTGTTTATGGATTAATTATGCCATATTAGAAGGCTTGTTAGGCTATGGGGGAGCAAAAATGGATCAGCAAAATTTATACCCTCTAGGGAGGCAGAAGGAAATGATGCAGCCTGTCCCCAAATGGGGTCATTTAGCATCAGTGAGACCAGCCTGAGCAAGAGCAAGCCCCTATCTCTACAAAAACTAGAAAAATTAGCCCAGCTCAGTGGTGTGCGCCTGTAGTCCCAGCTACCTAGGAGGCTGAGGCAAGAGGATCGCTTGAGTCCAGGAGTTTGAGGTAGCAGTGAGTTATGATGACACTATTGCTCTCCAGCCCGGGCTACAGAGTAAGACCCTGTCTCAAAAAACAAACAACCAAACAAAAAACCATTTCTCAAGTTGTTTCTAGCTCTCAAGATTCTGAGTTCATTTGTGTTGTCCTGTGAGGTTTTTGGCAACACCATTTATTGGTTTAGCTCTACGTGGGGACTAGTAATTAGTTACCTTAGTAATTTAAGGGAATTTAATAAATCTTAATTTTCCGCAGCAATGGAGAGAAGAGCTGGTACCAGCCTTCAAAACATTGCATGATCCCCAAAGCATATCTCTTTATCTTAGATGTAGTTTTGGACCCTTTGGTTTATGTACCAGATTTGCATTCATAATTAGGGCTTGCTTAGGATGGAGACAATTTGAGCTTATTTTCTTCAAGCTCAGAAGTATTCTTGTAGGGGCAGCCTAAGATTAAAGTGTCCTACTTTTCCTTAGCCACAGAGTGGCTTATTTACAAATCACGTCTTCCGCACGTGGATGGAGTTGACAATACAGATATTTGTTTAAATGTGTTTTCTAAAATCTATGTCGTGTTCTGTCAGTCTGTCCAAGCCACGTTTAAAATAAACAACGTCATTGTGAGGTATTAAAAAAAACATCACCTAAAAGTTTATCCCACTGTGTGTAAGTAGCAATGTGGTACAAAGCTTGGTTTATCTAATAGCATCAGTTATTTGGTCAAGTGTGTTTTCCAGGTCAGCTTAGTTGTCTATCAATAGTTCTATTTTTAACCGTGTTGATTGGAAATCTACTTACAATGCATTATACATCCTTCCTGCCTTTTTTTTTCTCCTGCCTTTGTAAACAGGGTACTGACTGTAATTTAATCTTTTCTTGAAGACCCAGGATCACCACTGTGACTGTGTCTTTGCCCAGTGGCTACATAGTGACCTCCCCCCCAACGCAGGGCCTCCTGAGGTGCAGGGGCAGCTTGCCCTGCCCTCGATAGTCCCAAACCCCAGCGGTTGGTGAGTCTATGTGTCTGGTGTTGGGCACTCTTTTGACCTCAGGCTCAGGGCATCAGGAAAGTGATAGCTCTCTCTCTCATCAACACATTTGTTTGCAACAATTCCCTTCTTCCCTCTTCCTGGTCCATCAAGGGATGGAAACCAAACTTGTTGGAACTGGATGTGAAGCTAGTTTGAAAGGAAGATTGATTGAAAGTAGGGCCTGAGGACTCTATTATGAGAAAACACACATTTTCATGCAGAGACTATTATTTTTATTTTGATATTGGCTCCTCCAAGTCCCCTTTTTTTCTTCTTGGTTCTAAAGCAGATTATAGGCCAGGTGCAGTGGCTCACGCCTGTCATCCTAGCACTCTGGGAGGCCGAGGCAGGAAGATCGCTCAAGGTCAGAAGTTCGAGACCAGCCTGAGCAAGAGCGAGACCCTGTCTCTAGTAAAAATAGAAAGAAATTAATTGGCCAACTAAAAATATATAGAAAAAATTAGCTGGGCATAGTGGCGCATGCCTGTAGTCCCAGCTACTCGGGAGGCTGAGGCAGGAGGATCGCTTGAGCCCAGGAGTTTGAGGTTGCTGTGAGTGAGGCTGACGCCAAGGCACTCACTCTAGCCTGGACAACAAAGCGAGACTCTGTCTTAAAAAAAAAAAAAAAAAAAAACCATAAAAAATAAAGTAGATTATAAAGGTAGGTAAGGCTATGGTGTGATCAAATATTGTTGGGGAGAAGCCATAGTGGTTCATATTTGCATTGCATTGCATTGCAGTAGGGCTTTCAAAACATTTTCACATACATTATCGTAGCTGATGATCATAACAATCCTTGATGGTAAGTAGGCAAGCTACTATTAATCCCATTTTACAGAAAGTATAACTAAGGCCCAGAGAAGTCTAAATGATTTACACAAGTTCCAATTTGTGAGGGATCCAGTAAAAGTCTATGCAGTGTGACTGAAGAGCTTATGAAAGGAAGTAGAGAGAGAGTTTGCGGCTGGGCACGGTTACACTTGCCTGTAATCCTAGGACTTTGAGAGGCCAACAAGGGAGGATCACTTGAGCCCAGGAGTTCAAGACCAGCCCGAGCAAGACTGAGACCCCGTCTCTACAAAAAATAGAAATATTAGCCAAATGTGGTGTTATGCACCTGCGGTCCCAGCTACTTGGGAGTCTGAGACAAGAGGATGGCTTGAGTCCAGGAGCTTGAGGTAGCAGTGAGTTATGATGACACTATTGCTCTCCAGCCCGGGCTACAGAGTAAGACTCTGTCTCAAAAAAAAAAAAAAAAAAAAAAAAAAGCTAGAGAGAGAGAGGATTTGCTTATTCATTCGTGGACTTGTTTGTTCAGTGAAGATTTACTGAGCACCTACTATGTGCCAGGAACCATTCTGTGTCCTGGAGATACAACAGAAATAGGCCAAAGTCCTATATTCAATGGAGCTTATATTCTAGTAGGAAAAGACAGACCCCCCCCCAAAAAAACCCAAATAAATAAAGTATGATACTGGTAAGTGCTATGAAAAGAAACAAGACAGTCAAAAGAGACAGAATCTCGGAGTTTCTTAATTACCTAGGTGAGATGAATCAAACTGATTTTTTTTAAATATCAGAGTTCTTTTTTGGTTTTTTGTTTTTTGAGTTAGAGTCTTACTCTGTTGCCCAGGCTAGAGTGCCGTGGCATCGGCTTAGCTCACAGCAACCTCAAACTCCTGGGCTCAAGCGATCCTCCTGCCTCAGCCTCCTGAGTAGCTGGGACCGCAGGCATGCGCCACCATGCCCGGCTAATTTTTTCTACATATATTTTAGTTGGCCAATTGATTTCTTTCTGTTTATAGTAGAGACGGGGTCTTGCTCAGGCTGGTTTCGAACTCCTGACCTTGAGCGATCCTCCTGCCTCGGCCTCCCAGAGTGCTAGGATTACAGGTGTGAGCCACCTCGCCCGGCCTAAATATCAGAGTTTTTCAAACCAAACCAAAGTCCCCTTTGAGGACAGTAAACCTTAGTGAAAAGGGAAGGAGTGGTGAAAATAATCATCATTGTAGATTGCTTTTTCTAACATTGTGATTACTAATAGGTCTAATAAATTTGGTATTGCGTATTAGCTCTAAGGTGGCTGCATGTGCCCAGGAAAAGGCCGTATCTGGCCACAGACATCACCGGGGAAGAAATGGAAACAATAACAATAAGTTTCTCAAATCCAGGAAGGGGTGCCCATCCCTGCTGAGAATGCCCTCTGGGGTGCAGTTGCCAAAGGGCCAGAGGAGGCAGGTGCCAGTTTGGAACGGATAGCTATCAGTTACATCTCGTTAGAGAACCTCTCTCGTTTGGTATCATGAAATCGCAACAATTTCTAGGCCCCTCCTGGAACCTGCTCAATCCATTTGCTGAAAATTGCTTTAAAGTGTAACGATTGACTATTGTGGCTTTAGGTTGTCCTCATTGTTTTTCAAATTAATACCTTGTCATTGTTTCAGCAGGTGTTAAGAAATGTTACTAGCATCCCAGGGGCCAAGCATTGGCCCTTTGCTTGATAATTGTTTGCTTTGTATCAGCAAAAAAAAAAAAAAATATATATATATATATATACAGTCCTACTGTTTCCAAACCTTCCTCATTTTCACCCTGGAAATTACACAGAAGTGTTAACTAACTTCAATTTGCAGTGCCTGACAGTCACGTCTTGTAGAGAGATGATTCTTTGTGATCTAAGGTAAATCACAGTAATGAAAACTAATCTTTTGAGTTATTGGCAAACATACATCTCCACTGTGGAAATTTGAGGGGTGGGTGACCGCTCTCCTAATGATCCACATTACAGTGTTTTAATAGGTTTCTTTGGAGATAACTTTGATTGCAACATCTCAAGCAGTGTGCATTCTGCGTTTCTTTTTTTCTGCTTCCTTGCAACAAATCAAATTTCCTAACTGCTGGATAAACCACCTCCTGCTTACCTTTCCAGAAAATCTCATTTATTTAAAAATCAAATCCTCTCCTCCTCCCTCTGCCCCCACCCCTTTTTTTTTTTTAAGCATTGAACTCTAAGGCTGTATTTGAAGCAAAGACAAATGGTTGAATTTCTCTTCTAAGTAAACTATTTAGCAAATACTCACTGTACACACTCAGGTTAAAATGTCCCCCCAAAAATGGAACTTGATTCAGAGGGAGAATAGATTGGAATATGATTTTTTTAATTTACTTAAAACTTTCTCAATTTTTTTTTAAAGAGGAAAAAGGAATGGGGAAGGCTGTCACTTTTCTAATGACATATTAAGGACACACAATAAATAGAAGACAGAGTATGTTTGGATATCCTTCAATGGGAGTTTTGATCCAAAGCAAAGCCAGAGAATGTTTCTGGGTTATCTAGTGAAGATTTATGCATTAAGATAAATTTTCTAAAAAAAAAAAAAATAGAAAGAAAGAAAGAAATTAATAGTAGGAAAAATATCTATAAAAATCCTGTAATTCTCAACTCCCTTCTTAGCCAGCTTGATTTCTGGAAAGAGTGGGCAGTTCTAATATCCGCTCCTAGCAGTCCAGGCTGTGGATAGCTAGACTGCAGCTCCAAAAGGCATCATGGGGCAGGTGGAGGGTAAAAAGAAAGGAAGAGTGGCCGTCTGAAAATTCCATTTTCATGTTTTCTTCTGTTTCTTCGCAGAAACCCGGGATGGACGTGGCCGACGCCTATGTGACATTCGTCCGCCATTCTCAGGATGTCCTGCGTGATAAGGTCAATGAGGAGATGTATATAGAAAGGTTATTTGATGTAAGTAAATGCCTTCTCCTCCTTGAACACCAAGGAGGAGACCCTCCAAAATGTGACAAAATAAGAGACAGGAGGATAAGTCACATTTTGAGAAAATGGATTGGCCCTGATGCAAACACAGCGCCTTTTCCTCTCCCCTCCTCCGCGTTAGGCTGTTTATCTGTCGTGTGTCTGTCCCCAACCCGCTCCGGCCTGGCCGTGCCTCAGTCTTCTCTAACTGGCAGAGACCCTTCTCGGCCATGGTTTTGTTCCTCCTTGCAATCTGGCCTCACTCATGGGGGGCATGTTCTCATTCGGGGGCGGGGTCTGGGGTGGGGGGACCGAGGCCAACTCCCTCTTCCTGGGGGGAGGGGGTGGTCCCTCCCTGCCACCAGCTGTGGCGTGCAGATGTGCGGTAAATGTCGCACGGTTGTCACCTCCAAGGCGATCTCCTTTCTGGGAGACCAGAGATCCTTAGCTCTGGATTTCGGCAAACGCTTTAACGCCAGAGTCGCTCGGTCACTTGCAGCCGTCAACCGTGGTGGCCCCTGCCAGCCCGCCCGCCCAGTGACACGCGAGCCGAAGCAGGTGCGCAAAGGGTGACGGCGAGTAGATCTGGCTGCAGACTGGATTGCCAAAGGGTTAATGGTTTTCGGGCCATCTTACTTCTGTGGTGACTACATCTGCACTGCAAAGCCAGCCACTGAGGCAAAAAGGAAAAAAAAAACCAAAAAACAAAAACAAAAAAACCCAGAAATCTGCTTCGGTCTCAAATTGCCTGCCTCTTTCAGGCCAAAGCAGATGGAGTGCCCTAATTTAGCCGGATATTTTGCCAGTGTAGACCCGGCCAGAGTGCATGGACGCTGACGTCCCCGTCCCCGTGTGGCTCTCTCTGTGTGTGGCCTACTCCTGTCTCGTGACACGTGAGCTCCTGTCGTCCAGGTTTCTGTGTTTTTAGTGCCAGCCCGAGCATTGATGTTTTGGTCTACTATGGAATCCGTGTTTCCATATTTTTTTTTTTTTTTTTTGCTGTGATTGTGTTCAGCAGTTGACACCGCGTTTTTGTGTGTATGTGTGTGTGTATGTGTGTGTGTGTGTTTTTGTTCCATGGCTAAGTGAGCTCATTATTGGCACCACTTTCAGATTCTGCGGCTTCTGACTTTTAGATGCTTTGTCTTCCAGCTCATTTGCTTTCCTTGTGTGTTGAAAGGCTCCTTTCTTTCTTTCTTTCTTTCTTTCTTTTTGTTTCTTTTCCAATCATCCCCTTTCTGTGCTCGATACCCCCCTCTCCCCCGCATCACCTTTCTTTCGACAAAACCCTTCTTACTTTTTAATTCCCACCCGTCCTCTCTCCGATGAAAATGGAACTTATCTCTCATGTCAAATGTTTTATCACATTATATCAAGTGGCATGAATTAGAATCAAATAATCTTCCTGTGTACATCTTCTAGCATGACCCACATCCACTGAGAATGCCTCATACATCCATAAAGCCCACGGGCGGGTCCTCCCGCTTCTTTGCATGCCTGCCTTTAGGAAGTACTGAGCCCAGACTGGGCACGGTCACCCATCCAAATGGCATTGAAAACAGAGACAGGCAGGACCCTCCTGGGTCTGCAGTTGTGAGCCTGGACACTCTGCCCATCTCCGCCGAATTAAATTCCAAACCGCAAATTTTCCAGAAGCCTGTGGATTGTTCTTTTCAATGCCTAGGTTGCCTTTTTTATTTCCCCCTTTGATCAGTATCTTCCGATTCTCAGTTTTATGTGGCCCGTGTGTGCGTGTGCGTGCATGTTCTCGTGTGAGCGTGTGTGTGTGTGTGTGTGTGTGTGTGTGTGTGTGTTTGCGGATAACCTCGTGCTCCCTCCAAACTGAAAAACATCCAGTACTGGATTTGCTGTTTAAGCTGAGGTTGAGCCTGTCGCTTCATTGACAAATAATCCACCCTTTCCCCTCTCTCTCTCTCTCTCTCTTTTCTTTTTTTGAAATTAGAAGTGCAAGGCAGCAAGGCAAATTCTCTCTTCCGTGGCTCTTTTTAAAGGAAAGTGCAACCAAATTCTTCATTTAAAAAGTAAGAGTGCAGCCTGAGCCTAGCACAGATGGTAAAACTGGACTGGCCCGGCTGTTGAAGAACACAGGCAAATTCAAGTCCTTCCGTCTTTAATGTGAATTAATAGTGGGGGGAAAAAATTACTAAGAATATGTTTTTCAGAAAGCATTTTGTGGTTAGGAGCGTTCAGAAATTCACAGATTTCTCCAGTCCCTTGTTGAATTCCACTGACCAGCGTAAAATGATATCAGTAACATTGTAGGAACCACCACGATTTAGTCTTATGTTGTCCCAATCTCATTTTCCCAACGCAGTCTTAGTTATATACCCTCCTGATTTTGAAGGCTTAACCATTTCAACCGTGTTCTGCACATCACTCCAAGCCCACAGTGGGGGGAAAAAAATCAGAAGCTTATTTAGACATAACAAGTTTCTTTTCCATTTCCTTTCTTACTTTCCAAATAACCTGATCTCTTAATTTACAGAATATTGGTGCTAGGCAACCTAACTGATTTAGTGCAAAAAAAAAAATAGTTATTGAATCTGTCATGGATTTAAAACATTTGTCATTTTAAAAACCCAGAGCTTCTCAAAAAGCTTCATTACCATGCCGTCTCAGTAATTTAATTCAGTAATTACTGTTTTTCTATAATCTAGCGGCAAAACATCAGATTACCAACATGTTTAATTATTTTCGGCTTCTGTTTCCTTAAGCATGGTGTTTATTTCTTTGCATATATGCTCTGCAAGACTCTTGTGTCCGCTGAGCTAATCAAGGGACTAGGAATATCAAGGCAAAAGGGTCTGTGAAACCTGCAACCCTAAATTTCTTGCTGCAATGAACTTATTCTTTAAACTCCATTCCTTAATGATACTGGTCCCCGGGGCCAAGCGTCTAAACAATTGGCAGAAATCTATTGAGAAAGACTTGTTGATCTGGGAGATTTTTCTCCCAAATTGTTGCATTTTGATAAATGGCAAAAATGAATAATAGCAAATTAACATTTCGAATGAAGGCAAAAAAAATATATATCTCCGAGATTGTTTGCTGTTTGGGGGTTGTTGATTCTGACTGTTGTGTTATTCTCTGGTTTTTCGTTCCGGCTGGCATCTGTCACTCAGAGGCATGTTCTGAAAAGTTCTTGTTGTTTTTTAACTGGGTTGCAAGGCTTAGTTTTATTTACCTGATAAGTCCTTTAAGTTCTGGCTATTTGGTATTGTTTTTTGTTTGTTTTTTTGTTGTTTTTTTTGCCTCTTTGAGCGTGCCCTTGTAGAAAAGGCTGGATGGTTTTAGTGTGTGTTTGTATTGGAGGATATTTGGATTACTAGCTGGTCATTTAATGCTGGTATTTTCGCTAGGCCCCTACCCAGTGCTCTCTGAGCCAGTTTTCTCTCTACCCCGTCATTGTACTTTTGGCTGGAAGTGGATTCTTGTGGGAGATTATCGGCAAAGCATTTGGGGCTCTATATTTGATGTTCTGCATTTTTATCTATTTTATTACATAACTTAAGAACAGGCTTTCCTAATTCATCTTCACCAATTTTTTTTTAAACCAAGCGTTCTCTAGGTTTATTGGAGAAATATATTTGAACATAAGGTTGCCTAATTTGTAGCTGAAGTTTCCCTGTTTATTAATATAATTGGCTTGCCCAGTTTTTCTATAAAATACTAACAACTTTCTTGATAAAGCACCTAAGGAAAAAAAACCTAACCAGTCCAAAATAAAGTGCCGATTGGAAAAGAATCTTCAAACTGTTTCCCGTATGTAAGATATGCACTATCCATTTTTATCTGCGTTTTTGTCTAAAAAAAAAAAATGAAGTGCAATTGTTTTAAGTTGCTGCAGAATAACAATTTATAATATTTTGAAACAAAATATTCAGAGATTTAAAGCGAGAGACTGTTCTAATAGGTACAATAACAATGAATTCCAATTAAAGATGCTGAATTTTTAAAAGGAAATCAGATTGCTGAAAGACTCAAGTAGGAGTCTTGGCCTCCTTGAAAATTATTGCTGACTTTTAAAGAAAATATAAAGCATGGATGTGAAATAATCTCCGTATTCCTAAAGCAGCAGCTAAGGAGGAAAGCACAAACTCAAGAAATAACTCGAAGACAGTGATTTAAAGTTGGAGTGTCCATAAATCATGCAGATGGTTTTTTTTTCCCCCCTTCTCTAGTGATTAATTCAACATCTTCCCGAAAACAAAATACATGCTTTTTGAAATTAGAAATCAGATCATCAAGAGAAGCACCTAAGATTTCGGAGGTCTAAACAAAAATTAATTTTCTTTCCTCCTTGTATTTCTTGAAGACACAGACTGAGAAGAAAATCGGGATTAAAAGAGATGTGCTTAGGGTGAATTCATCTGCTTTAAACCTCACAGGCTCGGAGATGAGTGATTAAAAAGCCATCTCGAACTTGGATGGAATCCACGTTGGTGGCAGTGCTACATCCGCCCTGGCTCTCTCCAGTCCCCATGTCATTGTGAACCAGGCCCCGGGAACATCGGACTGGGGTTGATATGTGGATTATATAGGTCAATTATACACTTAATCTGCCTTCTGGAGGATTAAGTATTTGCAGATTGACTCTGCCTTTGGCTTCTCCGTGGCAGTTATCAGATCAGAAAACGGCCTCTTAGCAAACAGCCTGGTAAGAACTTAATCAGGCAGCGTGGTCAGCTTGGGGACGCGGCTGCTGCCCAGTGCTCTCTGCCTTGCTCGGCTTTTAATTTGCTGTTCCGTGTATTTGTCCATTTCGTGTGGCAGGATCAATCATGGGGTGTGAATATTTCAGCTGAAAGGGGGTAATTTGAGGAATGAAACCCCTGCCCATGCAAGTGTACTTGCTGCTGTTCTGTAGGAAACTGCAGATAACCTTATTCTAATAACCTTATTAAATTAAAAAAGCGTTGTCTGTGTGAAGGCGCGTCAGTCCGAGTGGGAGCCATCCTGCTGCAGCAAGG